AGATCGACCCGGGGAACGAATCTTTCGATTCGGTACTCGGTAAAAAGAATAATTTGTACACAACAGAGCCATCCAGTGTACAACTGCCATCAGGTATTTGATTTTATTATTTTATGTAACTGAGATTATCATTTGATTGTTGTTTTATATATGTGTTCGCTGACTTATATTATTTATCTTTTATTATTATTATTATTATTATTGTTTTCTAAGCTGATTGTGACGCGGTGGTTAATGAACCGATCGTCGCTACGGATCATGATCGCGTGCAAGGTATATAATGATATATTGTATATATACATGACCTTTTTTTATTGTTCGTTGTGATTGTATTTAAGTTTGCCATTCGTGATGATTAGGTGCCGATGGTGATGTGACGGTTGATACTGGTGTTGCTGATGTTGGCATTGTTGATGCTGGTAGACCAAAAAGGAGTCCCAAGCCAACTAGCTTCTTAATATCACCTTTTAAACAAAGGTGTATTGACGTGGTTAAGAATCTCGACAACCAGGAAAAGATGGTCGTTAATTGGGTTCTGCAGGCAGATCACGAGTAAGATATATGTTGCGCCATGGTGTTATTATTTTTATTTAATCATCTTTATTGTCTAGTGTAATTATATATTCCGTTATTGTGTGCTGACATAATTTTTTTTTTTATGCACAGCGATGTGATTACATATCAGTCTCTGTCTCGTGATTATTCTGTGAGAAGAGCTGTGGTGGCATGCTTGGCACCGAATATGCCAATCAACGAGGCCATTATTGATCTGTGGGCTCGTATAATGAACTGCAATGAGAAAATCAAGAGTCGTAGTTCAGTGGCATGTTTTTTTGCATCAACGTGTCCGTGTAATGAGGTGCATCACGATATATTTTGACGAATTAGACGCATGCGTACAATATATATATATTTTTTTGAGTCTTTTTGTTTCATTAATGCTTACCATAAAATTTTATGAATCTCAGCTGTTTTTTAAGGGTAAGAGAAAGAAGGACTTAAGCTACAAGAAGTTTGTGGAGATGCTGGATTCAGAGATCAGACGAATGTGTGGCCATAACCCGAAGAAAATTTCTCTGGTATCCTCGATTCAGTTATTGTATTTTGGTTATTGATCATAACGAGTGGCATTACATTGAAACTCTTTTCCTTTGTTTGAATTACAATATGTGTTCCCTGTGCACTCTGGTGATTTCAGCGGGCTGTTTTGCATTTCGCCGGACACTCAGAAGCTATCAATCTTAGATAGTGCCGGCTTTTGTAAAGATGCCTCAATCAAGAAATCTGTCTCGTCGCGTGTTAAGATTCTGGTAACGAATATCCACACTTGTAGAAAGTTAGCCTTTTGTTTTATCACGTGGTGTGGTTGTTCTGTTTTTATTTTTATTTTTTTATCTTTTAATTCTTTACTTTTTTTTTTTGGTCTTCTTTTTGTTTTACAAGTTAACGTGTATATTTGGTGCAACAACAATCACTTTCAAAGTACATGAAACACGAGGGTATGTCAAAGTCTTCAAAAGCTGTCGCACTGTCGATTCCGGACTTCATTGATATGTCGTGGACTGAAGGGGTTGACGTTGTGGATACCGGCGTCATAACAATGCGTCACATGGAGACATTCAAGGGACGTGTTACGAAAAATTGGAATCCGGATGTGAAGAAGGCTGACAAGAGGCAGATTGACCTCATGAGGAAGCGTTATTGCTACGTCATTGCGTTCGCTCCATACAACAATGTGAAAGATACTAACCTCACTGAATCAAAGAGGTTCCAATTGAAGAAAGGTGTTCCTGTATGATGTGATGTTCGTTTTTTTTGGACACATTAGTCGTATTTGCTGGCATATTTTGCTCTATTACATATATATGTAGGACTTAACGTTTGGTACGCCTGTCTGCCACTTGATGTTTGTTTTGCTTCTAGCACTATTGTTTTGGATGACTTTTCTAGTAGTTTGTCGTGACTTGTTTTTGTCGTTTTTTTTTTTTTGGCATGGTAGCACTTTTATCTTTTGTTTTGTGGTGGATGAACGATGCGATGCGGTTATAAATATTATGTAGAACATGTGTTCGGTTCAAGGTTTGTGGATTACGAGACGGAGTTACTGATGTTATTTTGGTGCGCGTATATGAAGTGTGACGTTACATTCTGTAAAGTGCTACGATGTGATGTACAGTGTGCAATGTGACGACATATAAAGTGCACTAGTGTAGCATATACACATTGCTCGTGTCGCTAGACGTGTGATTGTTGTGATGTGGACTTGTTGCAATAACAACCAATTATATTGTATTTTTCCATCAGAAAATATATGTATGTATTAGATTGTTATAGGGAACGATTTCGTAACTGTGTAAACACACGGGGCCATGCCATACTTTCTTTAATATACCGTTCATACACTTTCCATATGGTATCAACCCATGATTGAATCACTGATCAGAGCTTTTCACGTGTCGACTACATATTTCATATCGTATCACGTCTTTTTCCGAACTAATAATATTCTCAATGTGCAAACACATCTGACGAAAAAAGAGTGAAACACGACGCTGACAAAAGTGCAACGAAATATTCATAAAAGTGCGACGTACTATAAAAAAGTGCAATATACATATTGTATCAGCGATAGATGTGCACAACATAATACTGTATAAACGACCTCTGACAACCATATTAATCATCAGTCAATGACATTGGAAAGAAAAAAAGGAACGAATAACAATAGAGTAACATTAAACCGACTTGTCTTAAAATCTATGGCAATGATCGAGTACTACATATAGCGATATTCATTAAACGAACAACCACATGTCTCTAACATTTTCCAGAAAGCAAAAAAAAAAAAAAAAAAAAAAATAAAAAATAAAAAAATGCAAATAAAAAAATAATATTAAACCAAATGTCCAATTGTAGCATTTTGATCTGAGATTGATTCCCATCAACGGCTTGTCGCCTCGCATGTCGCCTGTGTCTGCACTTTTTTTTTCATATACATTAATATTCATTCATCAAATTTAATATGCATTGCAATATTGTATGAGTAAGCACATACCATTAGTAAATACGTACGACTAACGAGCAACGGTATAGGATGTTGACAAATGTATATAGAGGCATGTTGTAGAATAATTATACTGTAAGACCAATGCACAATGTGTAAAATTCGATACATTTAGACAAATGCGAGCATGTCCGTATGTTAGAGTTTAAATAAAGATCTCGTGCGTTTTACCTCGGCGGCATTTGGCTTGTACGCCTGTTGCTTCTTCGGACATGTACGTATGTTATGGCCTGCTATTTCACCACACGACTTGCACGTCCTTCGTTTCTTTTGCGACTCTTCGATTGCCTTCTCCTTCCCACTTCTTAGTCTCTTTCCGCTGCCTTTGTTCTTGGACTGGGTTGGAGGGTGAATGTTCACCTCTCGAGGAGCTGCCATGCCGACAAATGATTCGAATTAGTGTTCTTTTCCAATGTTAGTTGCATCACCTGTTTCTGAAACAGACATGTCAGTTTATAAAGTGCAACAAAATGTTTTATATTGTGCAACACGATTATATATAAAGTGCAATATTGTATGTATCATGTACAGAGGTTTGTTTTTACCTGAGATCATTGCATCCCCTGTTGTAGCAGACAATAGCTTAATCTTGTATGCTTCGACAATTTTAGAAAATTCAGTAATCCGATCGACACAAGGCTCAGCTAATCCAATGCATATATGTATATCCGACCATAGTTTGTTCAACATGTGTTTTATATCATCAGCTTGGGCACACTGTGCATCAACACTATCAAGAACGTGAAACATGGGATTTCTAATCGCATGCTTCGTCCATCTCGACCTGATATCTGCCGACGGAATGAGATCGAAGCCTAGGTCTTTGAGCACGACAAACACGTGTCTACACAACAACCCGTACAACTCGAAGTGCTTGCATGAACACGTAGACGTAGTTAGAACCACATCATGAATAACAGTGAAGGATTTACCATTCGTGTCTTTGATTGTGAATTCCATATTCCCTTCACTTTCAGAGACGTTCAGCACACGACACGTGAAACATGCGGCACATATCTCATCTTGTACACGGTAGAACGAGGATGTCGTGTAAACAGACCTCACGTGCCTCTCAACTGACAAAGGTGTCTTCAACTCAGCCATTTGCGACTCACTGTCGTTTTGTAACTTGACCGATACATTTCGTTGCGCGTCCATCGCACTGTCAAAATGTAGTAAGAACTCGACTAAGCTAGAATGGTTACTCGTGAAATGACCGAACCAATGGTTTTCACTCTCGGACCTTGATGTTGTCCTCATCAACCCGCTCATTTTGACATCTCTGAAAAATGCCGGAATCCAAAATTCCCTTTTTGCAAATAGATCAATAAACCAATTATGTGTTTCCAGCATAAAGTCTCCCATGATTGCTGCCCATTTAGATTCAAATTCATCCGGCTCTATAGTTCGGTCCCACACGATTTCATTAAGCCTCCGCTTGAATTCTACATCGTTATTTATTGAATGACCGACCTTGTCGCATAGTTTAGTCATTATATGCCACATGCAAAATCGATGTTTGCAAGTCTCGAATACCTTAGGAAACGCAATGCCGATCGAGGGGTCTTGGTCAGTGACGATATATTCGGGTTCGTGCATCATTGCATCTTTGAAATTCTTGAACACCCATTCATAAGAGTCCACGTCCTCTTTTGATATTAACGCGGCGGCAAACGTAACACACTTGTTGTGGTTATCTATTCCAGTAAAAGGCGCAAAAATCATGTTGTACCTACACATTGAGAGAGTTCAGTTAGTTTTATATTGGACAAACAGAGAAAATACAAGGTGCGATTGCTGACTGTATAAAGTGCAATTACTAAATGTACAAAGTGCAATTGTTAATTGTATAAAGTGCAATTACTGCTGACTAGTGCAAAAAATGTTATTGACCTGACAAACTACGTTAGAAAATGTATGTGAAATTTATGCCAACCTGTTGGTGCCGTACGTCGCATCAAATGATACAACATCACCAAACGAACCGTAGTTCCTCCTCGAAATCGGATCAGCCCAAAAAAGCCATTTAAAACGCTCTTTTTCGTCGAGCTCGTACTGGAAGTAGAAGGCTGAGGTTGCTTCCCGACGCTTATGGAATTTATCGATAATCAATTGTGCATCAGCTCCTAAGATGTATGCACGGAGTTCCCGCTTTAAGTTCTTGAAATCCATGCTGGTGGCTCCAACGTTCGAATACCCTCCAACCATCTCCTTGTACAATCGGTGCGCCTTGACCGGCCCTATATTTGCTTTTATGCAATTCATTACGAACGACCGATGTCCTGCATTCATCGACCTATTGATCTTCATTTGTGACCTGCAATCTTCAGATGTCATCGAGTGGTTGTGCTTTTCCTCAAAGGTTTTAACGACATATCCATTCAATCCATCATATCGAATCCCAATCTTGGCAGCACATCCTACCCGGTTGGATACCCTACGTCTTGTCACGTGTCCTTTAGCATGTACTGTTGGACTGATGACTGCATGATGCTTGTGACCCTCTCGCGAGCACACAATGTACTTCCAAATAACTGTCTTGTCACGTGCTTTCACCAATGTGCTATGTCTCACGTCAAACCCAACGGTCATAGCATAAGCATTGTAGAAGTTCACCGCTTCATGTAATTCCCGGAATCTTTGTCCTTTATATGGTTTAATCGATTCGTCACATTGTGGTATCCAATGTTTCGTTCCACCCGATGTGATTAAGAGTTGTTGTTGTGTAACCGGCGGTTGCATTCCTTAAGTGCCATTGCAATGGGGAAAAATAAAAATCAGAAAAAAATAATATTAGTAGTAATAACTGAGCTCATCGATTGCACCGGTGAGATCAGACGATTGCACGCAATACAATCGATAGTTGCACTTTATCACAGTAAAGATAAAATTGACCTCAGTACCTTGTTGTGAGTCATTTAATTCCATTGTTTATGCTGTTCAACAAAGAAAGCGTATGATATCCCTAAATTCACATGAAAAATCAAAGTATATCAGATCAATTATCCACGTATTACCTATGAATATTACATATGTTGACATGTCAATAATTAAATCGAGAACACTTGATTTTGTACAACAATTGACCAAAATCGGAAGTTTAATTGGAAGATATACCTGCGGCCGCCGAGGATGTAGTATGATGGATCAATCTGAAGTTTCGAACTCACGAACGGGTAATTGGTACGGAAATCTCATTGGTTATGGTAAAATGGGCTCGAAATAATGAAGATCAGTCACAAAATTTCAAGCGAGCATAATTTTTCCATTGATTTCGTGTTAATCGATCTCGAGAGATACACAGCTGCGAGATTTGAGGTACGAGCTTTTGGGCAGGTATGGAGTAGCTAAGGGTTTCCAGTCTTCAATGAATGCTCGGTCTCTGTATGTGCGGGAATTAGTTGATAGGTAATTTACATTAGTACCCTCCAATGGTCTCTGTATGTGCGTGAATTTTAGTTCCAACGAATTGATTATGTCCATCAGATTGAATTGATCCAATGTTCACAATTTATTCTTATTTCTTTCATTGAGAACCATTCTCACTGGAATCCAACCCTATATATATATATATATATATATATATATATATATATATATGTATAAGATTTGTTTATGTATTTTGGGAGGAAAAATGAAATAAACAAGAAGTTGAGTATAAAATAAACACAAATTCCGCAACTTATAAAATAACATACTATTTAAGGTTAAATAATTCTGAACATTTTATTTTTATTATCTTATATTAAAATAACTTTGCATAATAATTAATAACATGTATTTTTTATGTCAATATAATAATACATTTATACATATAACACATATATACTATATTACTAAACAATTTCTACAGGGATTCGTGCCCCTACGGGCCCCTATGTAAGTCTGCCACTGAACTAGATACAATATTGTGAAAAAAAAAATTCATTGGTAAGTGATAACTATTGTGTTATTTTTATGATATGATGGACATAAAGAAATAATAATTAACAGTTTGAGTTATAGATTTTAAACCTGATGGAGAAATTTTTTTTTCAAACGATAATTATATTAAACCTAAAAAACTCAGAAGATAGTACAAAAGGAGTGTCAATGGACACAACTGGAACCAGAAAACCTGGATCTACCCCCTTGAACATATGGACGTTTTCGTGTTATCGGGCATCAGTTCAACCATCAGACTACTGGATCAATTGTTGAATTAGATAATTATTTTTAAAATTTTTAAAATTATATATAGTATTTTTATTATATAAAGACACATGAAAGTAAGAAAAATAAATATTTTGTATATAAGTTTTGTACATCAAAGAGATAATAAAATTGTATCTCATGATAAATATTTACCTATATATTTAATAATTTTTATTTTTAAAATTAAAAATATTAAATATATATATATATATATATTGACTGGGTCAAACCTGTTTGACCCGATCGGGTCGATGCTCAAGTCAATGCGGGTTTCAGATTTTGACCAGTTTGATCGAGTTTGTTGTCACCCCGTCCAAATCACCCAACCTGACCAATTTCGACTCCGAGTCGACCAATCATAAGATCGGTTCCTGGATCAACCCATATGACTATTCTGAATTGAAAAATAATGGATTGAGTGGATAAATAGTAGAATTTGGATATGATCGATTTTTTTATTAATACTTACATTGAAAATGTGAGTATATAACAAAAATAAAAATATAAATGTATTAATTGATTAGTGAATGAAACAATAATCAGTTATACCATCACTTACTTTTTCCTCTTCTCTGTACATGTAAACTTATATAGCATTCAGAATAGCTCGGTGAACCGGCGCGGGTAGCTCGGCCATGGCTGATTCAAGGGAGCTTAACCCGTTTTCGATGCATATATCTATCAGAGAGCTCATTTAGGTAGTTTAGGGTACATGTAGAATTACTTCGGATAGCTCGGAGGTCGAATAGCCTAAAGAGCTAATATACTAGATGGGACCTCATGAACCTATAGGTCGTTAAGTTGGAGGTTGTGGTTGCGACCTAGGTATAGACTACGACAGACAGAAAGGGAGGTTGTGGTTACGACTGTTGGGTTATATGAGGAACATCATCGATATGCACATCCAAATAACGAATGAAATCCTAACGCAACGGAATATATAGTTAGGATTAGGACTTACGGTTTAAAAATTTGTCGACTCTTAGATGATGTAGATTTTCGCTGTTGTAAATCGTCTGATCTGCAGAGTCCATTGGCAGCCGGACTTGACCTCCTCGGTTGATTACATGTTTGGTTGTGTGGGTAACAGGGTCGGGTTGCTGGTGCGTGAGCACTGCCGGTGTCGCACGAGTCTCTGCGCGTCGGGGCTGTCCGAGATTCTCGCGGGTCGCGCGCTAAGGCTGAGGATCTCGTGGGCTAAGCGTGTCGGTTGTGGGAACGTCAGACATGATTGACGGGTCTTCACGTCTAGGAAGGTTGAAGTGTAAGGCTCGTTGGGTTGTTGTTGGCTGCAGACATAGCTGGCACTGTACAGGCGCGGTCACGGCTGGGAGTCGGGCGTCATCAGGTGGTCGCGGCTAGGACTACGCATCGTCGGGGCTTGCATGCGGTGATTGGTCGATCGTCGGGAGCGGTTTTTAGTGGCTGATGGTTGCCGGGAAATTATTCTGGCAATAATTAATTCGCTGGGATGTGAAAAATTATACCTTATGATCTTATGGTGTATTATATGTACACCTATTTCAAATAGTCTTGGTGGTGCGACGAAACTCTTGAAACCTCCTAAATATTTTTCATTCGATTTTTCTCTCTTGAAAGACTAAAAATTGGATGACTCAATGTTATGGAGAAGATGTTGGGATATGGTGTATTTATAGGCTATAGGAGAAACCCTACGGAGGTGTTAAATATGAACTTCTCCAACTAGGATTAGGAAACCTTATGTCATCCAACTACTTAACCTTCTAGAAGTCCTAATACCTTCCAACTTAGTTATCCTTCTAGAAGACCTTATGTCTTCCAACTTGGTAACATCCTAAAAGACATTAATTCCTCTAACAGTTAATATTCTAGAACACCTTTTAATTCATTTTTTATTTGATTAAATAATAAAACATTTCACTAGAATAATATTATTTATCCCACCACCATTTAGCTCCAAATTACACAATAATTTTGCCCTCTCTTGATTGATCTTAATTAATTTAATTGATCAATTTACCTTCTTATGTTTAAGATATAACGTCCATTGATTAATTTAATTACTGAGAATTTAATTAATTTATTTATTATTATTTATTAGGGTAAATAATTTTTTTCAACATGTACTATACGCTTTTTTGGAGATTGCAACCTAAAGTTTTTTTCCCTTATTTGCAATCTATAATACACGGTTTGTCTATATCGCAACCTAATGGCCATCGGAGTCCCATATTCCACCGGAAAAGCGAGCGTGCGACTCGCACGCGCGAAACTTGAGGGTAGAATCACCTTTTTCTCTGATGTTTGCAGGACAAATTTGTCTTTCCCGAACTGAACAAATTCTTTTAAATAAATCCATCTTGCTCCCGCGAACTGAATAATCGACTCCCGCAATCAATTTCATAGACATAGCTTAGAGACGATGGCAGTTAACATAATTTCTGAATTCGGGAAAATTTGGTCAACCCTAAATTTTGGAATTGATCTCGTAAAACTTAGTTCCCTTTTCCACTGAATCTTGTAGGAGGATGGTGATTGTTATTTTTTTTTTCTGAAATTACCCAAATTTGTGAATTTGGGTAAAAATATTGAACCCTAAATTCTGACTTTGGGCAAAATTATTGAACCCTAATTTATAAAATTGATCTCGTAAAATTGAGTTCCCTTTTCCACTGAATTTTGTAGGAGGATGGTGATTGTTCCTTGTTTTTTCTGAAATTAACCTAGTTTCTGAATATGTGCTAAATTAGGTGAACCCTAATTTCTGAATTTGGGCAAAATTATTTAACCCTAATTTCTGAAATTGACCTAGTACAATTGAGTTCCCTTTTCCACAGAATTTTGTAGGAGGATGGTGGTTATTTATTTTTTCATGGATTGAACCACCATTGTGCCCTAGAGCTTGTGAAATCATTCCAGGGCTTTTGAAACGTGCCGACAAATTTGAAAGCGAAATTCAAATTCTTGAACCAGACGTGATGAGGTTGGAAGATGATATGAAGAAGCTTCAATCAGATTTCAAAGAGGACAAAGCATGTATTGAAGCTATTAAGGAAGAATTGGCTAAAATGGAATTATCCTTGAAGAGGAAGAGTGTTTGAGAGCGTTGGATGTGGATTGTAATTATGATCTCTTGGGTGATCATGTATTACATGTTGTAGACTTTTAAACTTTTAGCTTTGCGTTGTTTAAACTCTTTTGGTCCTCTTTTGGTTGATCAAAGTATTGTGGTTGTTCAAAGTCGTATGGTGATTATGTTGGTTCAATCAATGTGTATTATTGGTTCAAACAATGTGTGTTCAATGACATTGCAAACAATATTTTGTTTGTTCAAACTCTGGCATAATCACAATCATACACACATAAATTGCAGTGAACACAATTAAAAACCAACTCATTCAAATAAACTTGTATCCAATTGAAAACCAACATTATGAATGATTGTAAATGATTTACAACACAATTACAA